AAAAAAAAAAAAAAAAAAAAAAAAAAAAAAGACCGCGATCGCGATCTGCGGCGACAATTCGGCAGAAGGTCCTTCGCTCCGAGCGGGAGTGAGGGACCATCCGCCGTATTGCCGCCGAATAGCTGGACGTGCCGCCCCTCTCTGGAGTGGCCGCCCCAAGCACCTGCTTGCCAAGCTGGTGCCTGGAGCCGGCCCTGAGGTAAAGGTAGAACCACAGTTGCTATTCCTGAGTTCAGGGATTTTCAGTGTTCTGGGCCAGCTGTTAACAGTTAATATCCCCATTTGTGGTATGAGAGGGATTTGCTGTGGGGGCTGGGCACTAAGTCTGGCAGTGAGAATCAGCAAGGAAAGCTCTCTAGGGAGGAGAGCAGGTGCTCTGTCTTTCTCCAGACTTGGCTGAAGTAAGCTGTGCTCTATAACTACTTTGGCTGAGAGAGAAGTCCTGTTGCATTTACATTTGCTACATTTACTTTTTTTTTTTTTAATTAGTAAAGTGCATCAAAGTGTTTAGACTCCACCTTGCTGTTCAGCTGCCTTTCCCATGCTCACCCCCATTCTCATTTTAGGGGCTTATTTCATGAGGTGTTACTATGTGTCAATGTTGATCTAGTTTGTGAAAATACCACACAGGCCTTAGTCAAAACTTCCCCTTGACTTCAGTTTTGCCTAAGTAAGTTCTGCAGCATTGGGCTATTGGTCTATTTGGGAGCACACAAATAAATCTTTCACACAAAATGTCACTGTCATGGTGTAAACAAACCCTAAATCCTGAGCCAGCCAACTTTCAGTAGAATTTACCAGTAAAAAGGTCATTTACAATTGAAAACTGGAGGCCTCAACCAGCATTCAGCCTTATTTTTCACTGGCTCCTGACTAGTACCCAATCTGTTTGTTGTAGGCAATGTGCCGGAACTCATTGTATTAGCTTCCATTTTATACTTCAGAATTAATCAGGTTTTCCTCATCTCACTTAGATCACAGAAGCTAACTAAAATAGAAGTTCAGGATGGAGAAGACCTACTTGTATCTTTTCCCCCCCCAAACACCAATTTTAGGAGCTGTAAGCTCCCGTCCACTGCATGGTACTAAAGAGAGCAAATGAATTTGAGAAAGAGCGATAGTCTCATGGAATGGAGCTAGCATGTCAATGCTGTCTCCTTCCCTGTCCAGTCAGGCCAGTCTATGTGAACACTGTGCAGTTGGGACTGTCAGTTGTAGGGCACAACTGGGAAAAAGCTATGCAATTTCTAGCCTATATTCTGTGCTTGCCTCCCCTCTTCACATGGCTGCAGACCCTTCCCACTAGAGAGCGGATGTGCCTGTTTTCAGAAGAGACTTCCCCTTCTGGGAGTGTATATGTGGCTTAGTACTCAGCTTTTGGACTGCGGAATACTTAGAAATTTAAACTAAAATGTTCCCTTGGAAAAAGTTTTGGTTTTAGGTGGATTGCATTTCATACCTTGCTCAGCATGAATGTTCTATTTGGTTGACTTTATTATGGTGACATTTACCTGCTGTTCGATACGACATTGTGTGTATTGTCTTGGTTGCTTGAGTTTTGGCAATTGGCCTACAGTGTTTCCATTTTCAAGAATCTATTAGGTATCAGTCTGACATTTGGATTTATTCCAGTTCTGAATCAACATACAATGCTAGCCCTTGCCCATTTTTGGCTGCGGATTTGCAAACTGATTGTGGCATAGTTCTCATTTCACTGTTAATTAACTGATTTATGGTTCCCTATCATACCTTGATGGTAACTACAGTATATAACTATCCTTGGATTGTAGTATTCCTTGGTTATTCTAGATTATAGATGCTTTGCCTTAGTCTTTAATAAGAGTATTCTTTTCTCCATGCAGAGCATCTACATCTCCCATTGATGTCAGTAGGACTATCATGTGAATAAGGGTTGCAAGTTCTTGTCTTCAATGTTATGGAGCCACATCGTGACACCATAAGGTTTAAGAGCCTCTTTCATTCCAAGTTCTTATTTTCAGATGTTTAACTTTTTGAAAAATTTACCTTTGGGGCTGAAATCTCTCATGTTTATTCTTGGCCCAAAGATAAATTTTTATCAAAGTGCTTTAACTGTTTGAGTTATCCAGCTTGGGGGCGGGGGGCGGAAGAGGGGAGAATGGCATTTTTCACATGGAAAAAAATAGTTGAACTACTTTAAAAACAAAAATGCATGGGTTGTTCAAATAGGTTTTTTGGTAACAAGGAGTCCATGCAGATCTTAAAGGCCAATTAGAAAAAAAAAAGCCTTGTTTTTCTACTACTTTTCTAACAATGTACCAAGGCTGGACACTTTCTAGACATGTCCATGTTGCTGGAACTCTATATTGAAATTCATGCAGCTGTTTATTTAAACGACTGCGCAGTATATACCTTTATCAGAATATGCGATAGCACATTCAAATAAATGCAATTGCAGTTGCATTGGAATGTGTGGTCTCACACTGAAATAATGTTTGTAGGACATGATTAAACCTTCAAGCGTTTGTCATAAAGCCACTGTTGCCAATTTTAGCATTGTAACTTTTTAAGAGATGTTTTGGATCTCAGATAATTATGGAATGTAATTTCTAATATTAGAAATATTGAAAAAAACAATCTTCGGACTATTTGGCACTGAGCTAGTGCTGGGTACTTGTGCTGCAGTATATTTACATCATTGCTCTTTTGTTATGCCTTTCTGTAATATTCCTTACATATGTTTCTGTGACTCATTTTCATCAAGCAAAAACAGTAGGTGGACTGATTTTCTTCCGACATTTTAATATTTACACTAGCTTTTCATCTGTCAGTCATTGTGTTAGTAATATACAGTTTGAAGTTGTTGGCAACATTTTCTGTGCTGCAATTTACTCTGTTTAAAAAGCCATAGCAAATTATTGGTCTCTTGACTAAAGATAGCTTCAAATGTTTGAGAGTTCTACTGTAGCTGTCAGCATTCTGCCTTAAAGTACCATAACTTGGTTCCACATCAGTTGGGATAAAAAATAAGCTCTCTTTGTTATGGGACCATGATATAGACCCTTCTGCATTACCAGGACTGACAGCTCCTTGCCTGTCCAGTCCTCTCTATTAAGTCAAGCTACCAATTGTCAAACCTCACAACCCGCTCCCCCCTCCCCCCAAGGGAAAAAAAAAGAAGAAGAAGAAGAGAACACCTTGGAACCATTTTTTCCCTCTGAAAACAGCTCTGTGCAATGGGGAAAATACACTTCATTCATGTCCTAATGTGGCATTGGCAGCTTTTAGGTGTGGTGGCTTTTTTTAGGATAGTTATAGAAAGGGGTTTCAAGTTCTGAATATTTTGCTAGATATGGAGGTACTCCAGAACTGTGCATATATTTCTATAACAGAAACTGATCAACCCTTAATGAGACAATCATTTTTTCATTTGTTAAAGAAGGGGTTTACAGACCCCCCTCCCCAACTTAAAAAGGCTTTCATAATTTTTATTTCCCCAGTAAAATCCCCCCCACACACACACACTGACTTGTTTCTCCTGGAATTTTTGCAACTCAAACTTTGGAGCCTTATGCTAGCATGTGAGAAACAGTGGGTGGAGGATGTATCCAGGAGTTGGGGAAAGGACGGTGAGAAGCTGTCTAGGCAGGGGGATTTGATCAGATGGAGAATCTGAACTATTCTTAAAATGGCCATCGTTACACAGTGGCAGCCATTTTAAATGGTTTTAATGTAATTGGGTTTTGGATAAAAGTCGTACGAACACAAATCTGGCCACCTGGAAGGATTCATGAACAGATCAAATCCAAAGAGGGATGTATCTTATCCTAAAAAGTAAATTTAACGTATGCATAAAAGGTTTAAGTGCCTGTACAATATGTAAGAATAATTCCAATCCAAGGGAAGAGAGCCCTGAAGGTCAAAAAACTCCAGTTCTGTCAGATGGAGTCTTCTGACATTCAGAGTCACATGGGTGTGTATAGACTCCTCACACTGCCTCAGAACAGCTATAATTTTCTGCAGTGAGTGGTCTTTTCTGGCAGTGTGTGGTTTTTTAATTCTTTTTTGCTGCTGCTGCTACCAA